CACTTCCAATCTACATCCATAGATGTAGATCCTACATCTTTACATGGTTGTAGTGATGGTAATTGTCTTTCCCCCCATATTATGAGCATTTTTTTTAACATAGCAACAAAATATTTATCATTATTTTTTCAAAGTGGCTGAGTGGCACAAATAAGAAATATCCTAAATAGATAATAATGGTGGAGGGTGTGTGTGGTAACATAATTGTATTTTTCATTTGTCTGTTTCAATAACTAAAGCAACAAATCACATTTCTTAGAAGTAGCTCTTTCCATCTCAGTATGAGCCTGTTTTAGTCCTCACAGTAAGAACGTCCCTGTTCATTCATATGCAACTTCATCCAGTTTCCCATTCTAAAATGGGTCTTCAGCATTCCGGCAGGACTGTAACAAGGAAAACATTCAAACAGCAAACTCTAAATATAATTCTGTTGTTGTGAGGTGGAACGTTGTGTGGAACTTCTTATCAGTACATCTTTGCTGGTACAGAAAAGACAGTAAGAGCTCCTGCCAAAAGCTTTCCTTCCTGCTTATGCTTACGTTTCATTCTAGTAAGAGTTTGTTTATATACAATAGGGTGGGTACTCCCTATTAAAAATCCCTTATACCAATTACCAAATACATTCACAGGTTCTTCTCAGTTTTAGCGTTCTGATAAAGAAATGAGTGGAACTATTTCCACTCATCCATGGAACTATCTTCCTCACATTCTCACAATTTTATTACAGTGTATAATCGTGTTTGGCATAGGCTGGATCACCCTGAAGCCTTTTCTACATTTATTTCCATCCTATTGTCTCCAGGAATTTCCTAGTTAACAGATTTAACAATAAGGCCAAGGGATGCCTCACATTCATCTATTCACTAAATAGCTTAGGGAATTGTTTTCTACTAATCAGGAAAGAGTCACATCTGAATACACACCTATTTCATGTAGGTTTCCAAAAGCAAGTTGGGAGAACAGTGTAGCCCATGTTCATTATGTCTCCATGGATTGCTCTCCAGGGTGTGTTCTTTGATGTCGAACAAGAGATGAGTTCCTTCTGAATGTTTTCCCACACTGAGGACACTGACTGGGACCCTCCCTACTATGGAGTCTCTGGTGTACTGCCAGGTGAGAGTTCTGCTTGAAGGATTTCCCACATTCCAGACACTGGTATGGAGTCTCCTTAGTGTGAATTCTCTGGTGCTTAGTCAGACAGGAGCTATCCCTGAAAGCTTTGCCACACTGATTACACTCATAGGGCTTCTCACCAGTATGAGTCCTTTGGTGCCGGATGAGGCCAGCAATGTTCCTAAAAAGTTTCTGACACTGGTTACAGCCATAGGGTTTCTCACCAGTGTGAATTCTCTGGTGCCTGATGAGGTATGCACTCTCAATGAAAGTTTTTCCACATTCCTTACATTCATAGGGTTTCTCCCCAGAATGTATTTTTTGATGCACAATGAGGTGAGAGTTGCGATTGAAGGATTTCCCACATTCTGCACATTCAAAGGGCTTCTCTCCAGTGTGAGTCCTCTCATGTTGGGTGAGGTATGAGCCATCTCGAAAAGCCTTTCCACATTTGCTACACTCATAGGGTTTCTCCCCAGTGTGGATCCTGAGATGCACTGTGAGATGAGAGATGTCAGTAAAGGGTTTCCCACACTCATTACATCTATATGGTTTTTCCCCTGTATGAGTTCTTTGATGTAAAATAAGGGATGAATTTCGGTTAAAGGTTTTCCCACATTCTAGACATTCATAAGGTTTCTCACCCGTGTGAATTCTCTGGTGTTGTGTCAGAGCTGACCCATCACTGAAAGCTTTCCCACATTTATTGCACTTATACGGCTTCTCTCCTGTATGGATCCTTTGATGTACAATCAGATTGTAGTTCTTGGAGAAGGATTTTCCACACTCATTACAGCTATAAGGTTTCTCTCCAGTATGAGTTCGATAATGCAAAACAAGAGAAGAGTTTCGTTTGAAGCATTTTCCACATTCAGCACATTTATGAGATTTTTCTCCAGGGTGAGTCCTCCTATGTTCATTCACAGAGGAGCTCAGGGTAAAGAT